ACAACACACACACACACACACTCTCACACTCACACTCACTCTCTCTCACACACACTCTCACACACTCACACTCACACACACTCACAGACAAATACACTGTGAACTTAACAGCTTTAATGATAGAAATAACTACAATCCCATGAAGCATTGCAAATGGTATAAAGTTTACATAGATTTGATAAAAAAAATGTTAAAATAAATGATAATTAAAAATAATATGTATAATATTAATTATATTTTTATTAGTATTTAATATTAACATTTTTATTCTTCGTTTTCATTTTAATTTTGTTAATTTTTTTTAGTAATTTTGTCTGCTTTTGTCATTTTTATTATTAAAATATATATATAATTAAAATATGTATGTATATATGATTTTATTGAAAAAATATTAAATATAATAATATAAAATAATATATGTATAATTTTAATATTTTGAGGTATTTTAGATATTTCATTTTGATTTGTTAATTTCTTTGTATTATGTGCTTTTGTCATTTACTTGTAATTTTTTATTATGATTATTATAATTTCAAATAATATTTCGTAATATTTAGAAATAATATATTTTAAGTTTATTGCAAAATATACATGCACACACGTGTGTGTGTATGTATATACTGCAACTCTCTGATTTTTAAATTATTTATTTTTTTTGCACAGCATGTAAACATGATTATAAAAAAACAACAACAACAATGCAAACTGCTGGCTCAAAAGTATACACCATTGATTAATATCCTCAGAGCTCACAATGGCTCTGTCTTTACGCTTTATGAGTTTTTCTCTGTGAAGAAAATGAATTTCTGTATATCTCTGTTCCATCCGCTGCATTACACACGCAGAGCAGCGCATGAGACGGAGTCACAGGATGGAGGATTGTGGGAAGTGTTTAATATGGGCTGAAACAGGGCTGTTTCTGTGCTCACTGTCATTAGAGGAAGTTGAAAATTGGGTAAACGGCCGATAAGGAAGTGCTGGTGTGTAATCAAACCGCAAACGTCACCTGCTGGAACCAGGAGTTTCCCTCCAGTGAGCAAACTGACCAGAAACTGAGAACTGAGACGTGTGTGTGTGTGTGAGAGAGAGAGAGAGAG